TTGATTTTGTTATCTTTTTATTCATTTATATTGTTATCGATATGATGATTGTTATATATCGATGAATAAATCGATTTTGTAATCGTTGTATTTTTCTATATGTTGATGGATATTGTTATCGGTATTTTTATTGCAACAGTTATCGACCGGGTTACCGATTTAATAATCGGAACATGGAATGCGATCACATTACATGACATCACATCACATTATATCACATGATATGATGAGACATCACATTATATTACATCACATATAATGATATCACATCACACGATATCACGTGACATGACATCATATGATATGACATCACATTATGTAGTATGACATCACATGACTTGACAGCACACGATATGACATCGTATGACATGACATCGCATTACATAACGTGGCATCACATGATATGACATCATATGGTATGACATCATATGACATGACATCACAGGATATGACAGCACATGACATGACATCCTATTTATGACGTAAAATCACGTCACATCTTATCACCGTCATCACATCTCATCTACGTGAATAGATAAAGCAGGGACCGTAACGGTTATAAGTTTTATTATAAAAATCACTTTTTAATCGTTATTAACTGAGTTTTATTTTTTGCTCGGAAAATAATCGTTACGTTTTAAGTTTTATTTTTTGCTCGGAAAATAATGGTTACGTTTTAAGTTTTATTTTTTGCTCGGAAAATAATGGTTACGTTTTAAGTGTTATTTTTTGCTTGGAAAATAATCGTTACCTTTTAAGTTTTATTTTTTGCTCGGAAAATAATCGTTATTTCTTGAGTTTTATTTTTTGCTCAGAAAATAAAACTTAATTTTTGCGTATGCGTATGCGCTTTTTTGCACTTTTTCTTTAGAAATGTGGTTCTCTTTTTTTTTCTGCCCTGGTATCTGTATTTACATTACCCACTCCACAGTGGCGTTAAAGGTTCAATGCAGCCGTCCCCTCCCTGTCTATTCACGCATGCGCATACGCATACGCAAAAATTAAGTTTTATTTTCTGAGCAAAAAATAAAGCTCAAGAAATAACGATTATTTTCCGAGCAAAAAATAAAACTTAAAACGTAATCATTATTTTCCGAGCAAAAAAATAAAACTTAAAACGTAACGATTATTTTCCGAGCAAAAAATAAAACTTAAAACGTAACCATTATTTTCCGAGCAAAAAATAAAACTTAAAACGTAACGATTATTTTCCGAGCAAAAAATAAAACTCAAAACATAA